TTGATTGAGCTTTTACGGTACTTGCACTACATAGTCCCACGAATTTTTCAAGAAATGTCAGAAGTATGGCTCCAAAAGTACATTCACTGAAACAAATTGGCCACCAGAAATTGATGTGCTCTACCTTCAATGTACATACCAAGTATGACCAAGATCCAGATCATCAGAAATGCTTGATTTTGAAGAATTTTTAAGCACAAAATGGCTGCTAATAGGCCATCTAGAATTGGGCATGGAACGAATCGACATGCATATGGTGCTCAACAGACTGCAAGCAAGTCTAGGTCAACTCATGTAGGGAAAGAACATGGCGGATATTGTATAGCACCGAGTGTTTACATGTGAGTGAAATCATTCGCTTGTGATGAAACTTAGTTATATTTTACTTGCATTTCATAACAATTCAAGAAATTTATTTTTTGGACATTATTATCACTACTGGGTAATAATCAACAATTGTGAAACGCTGCATGACTGGATTGCGCTACCTTGATTATTAAGCTCTAAGCAATGCATTCATGTTTGCTTTTATTTGAAACTTCTTTAGGAAAATACTTTCATTACAAATTAAATTAAAAAAATAAAATAATAAAATAAATATAAATTAAATATACTGAGTACCGGTATACCTATTGTCATCTGGTGATTTTTTTTTTTAGGCACGGATCGATTAGTATGGCCAAAACGGTGTTGGTTATATCATTGACGTACTAACACAGGCTGAGCCACTGAGTTAAGAAGAATAAAAAAGCACTTGAGAAAGTTCACTTTCGGTGTTATAATGTGTTAAAATCCTTCTCAAACCTCAAACCAATAAACATAGTCCATGGTTATACCTACACACATGACAGGGCTGTGCGGCCATCTCTCTATCAAATGGAAATTTAATGCGCTATCCGAATCAACCATGGTTCAGTCAAACACAAGCACCTGCGGACCTTGCCCAAGGTTCGCCCAAAGTCGCATTCGTTAGTGAATGAATCTCGGCCAGTGGAATTGGCCTTCCCATTGAGTCTGTGGCACACTCACCCAGGGTATAGGTTGACCCTTTTGGTGTTCAGCCCGAGGTAGGATTTGAACTTGGGTCTACCGATCATGAGTCTGATGCAACAACCACTACAATACCAGTGATCGGTTCGGAGTCAAATACCTTAGCTTGTGACAAGACAACATGTTGAGTGCTTAGCATGTGCAAAGAAATGCTTAAGTTACAGATTAAATCTGGCCTGTTTTTAAGACCTGGTTCAGAG